ACACTGTAAAATTAAAAATACAATTTCATAATTGTGTTCTCAAAAAGGAACCATAATTATATCTAAAAATGTTTATCTGATTTTTTTTGGTATCTATAAAAATTCTCTAGCTTCATTTGTAAAAATACAGATTTTTATGCCAATATTTTTAAAAAGGAAGTCACTATAGGAGTAAATAGGAAGTTGTTGCAATTTTTGAATTTGTTAATATTTTTTGTTTCTGCTTGTGTTAGTGGATTGATATTGATATTAGAGGGGAATGAAGAGACACATATCTAGTCCAGTAATAATGATTTTCGGAGGGCCTAAAGTATGGTTGTCTTACGATCAAGTCTTGATCCATCTACTTAAAATAAATTTGAGGCCTCAAGATGGTTTGGGTTAAACCTCGACATTTCTATCTAATATATAGTATTTTTTAAGTAACCCATAACGTATTGCTTTCTTAGAATAGCAAGTAGCGAGTTACTTTTTCCAAAAATAAAGTATCGCATATATTTTTTGAAGTAACGTTTACAGCTATACTATTTTTAATACGTTAAAAAAAATATACATTTAGCCAATTGGAAAATCGATTCTTATAAGAATAATAAATAAGTGAAAATCATGCTATCTTTTGATGTAATATTTTTTTATACCTTAAAAAAATAAACAAGTTGGGGAATCCAGATATAAAATCCTGAACCGAACCTTTATAACCAGTTATAACCGTTATTATTTACAGAGCCTAAACGGAACCTTAAAAAGATATGTTAACTGGTTTGAACCTACCAACTCTTTTAAAATGTATTAGTAATCGATTTTGATTGATAGTATCATTAAGTATTTTCGGATATTTGTATATATTATTTTGACCATGCCAACCGAGGTTAGCATGTGGAATATAAATATAATTTAACATAAGAAAATATCCAAAATATTTTGCTCTATATTATTTATTGGGGAATAGGGAGAAAATTTTAAAACGTGTGGTTCCCAATTTACATAATTCTAATAAAGTTTTGTGCTAAAAAATTTGAACCAGTTTTTAAAGGTTCAAACAGAATCGATATTATTACTTCTTACGAAAGAATCTGAACCATGAATCATTATCTTTGTTTGAACTTATACCTGAGCCGAAACTATATTAGTTACGATACGGATCCGCGTAGAAAATCATGCGAATGTTTTGTGAAATTTTACGTTTAAAAAGATATATTATTTTGCTCGGGAATAAAAACTGCAACACTCAGAATTTTTTTTTCCCCTTTTGCTCAGAATTGAAATTAATTAAAGTTAAGCATTTTTATTAAATTTCACAGACATTTTCTAAAAATTTAAGACAATTTTTTCAAGGTAAAAATTTTGATTTTCTCAGAATTTATTTAGGGAATTTCTCATAAGATATGCTAAACCACTCAGAAATTTCTACTATTTTTCATTTTTAAGTGTGTTTTTTGCTTAGATGTTTATTTTTTTATATTTACCTTATATTATTTATAATATTTTGAGTGCTATAAAATTATCATCACTCTAGGTTCTGAAGTCTAATTCAGGGGCTGTGGTTGAGAGGCAGTGGGGGGGGGGGGTTAGAAACTCTTTTTTAAAATATCTTGACAATGATATTTGCAAGATAATAAAAAGATTTTTTGACTACTATTAAAATTTAATTATCACTCTTTAGTCATCTAATCAAGGTCTGAGGGTGATGAAGGAAGGTGGGGTAGGAGAGTAAGGAAGGGGGAGGAGATGTAGAAACCTTTTTAAAATATATATCGATGAGAAATGAAAGCTAATAAAAATTATCTTTAAATCCTATAATAGTTATTAAATAACTTTAGCAAATAAATGAATTAGGGAGTAGGATGCCTATTAAAAGAATAGAATGCCATTTTAAAAATAAATTTGAATATATATTCTGTTAAATAAAATTAATAACCTCATTACCCAAGTCTATACTAGACAATTCTACAGGAAGTGTTTAATATTTTTTGAGATTTCGATTTTAAATTATATTATAATATAGTATTATTAAACTAATATAAATTTACATTTTTAAAGCATTAAATTTAAATTTTAAAATCTGCCAACGAATATTCGTGTTTGTTGTCATAATAAATTAAATATAATTTATAGTGTATTAAGGATTAGTATATAAATATTTAATTCTCCCATTAAAATAATATTAAAAATAAGTTAAATAAATATTTAATTCTCTCATTATAATAATATTAAAAATAATTTAAATAAATATTTTTTCATTATATAGAGTTAGAGTTCATAGTGGTTAAAAGATAGTTTTCGAATAATTCTAGATACAGATATATTTTTACAAATGTTAAATACAGATGCAGTTTCTTATTATGATGTAAGGTGTGCATTAGTGTTGTTAACGGCTAACTCAATATTTTCGACAGAAAAATATTGTCTAAGCCTCGAGATTTAACTAATAGATGTCGAAACCTTTGCCATATATGAGAAAATTCTTCAGGCTTTCATAATATTTTTCTGAATAAAATATTGAGTTTGCCCTTTATAAAAATTAGCTCAAGTCGAGTCGTTTAAAAACACTAATGTATATTGTATATATAAAATATTGATTGTTAGATTTCAATATTAGTTAGACAAATTATATAATAAGATGATTATAAGTAATTGTTAGCACCCCCGTTTATCTGTAAAGACATTTTTAGCCACACTTAACTCTTTCTACCTGTTATAGTTAATGAGTAAAAACTTTATATTGGATAATCATTAAATATATAAAAATCCTGAAACTCATATTTAAAATTTTTAATTTGATGAATGTCAGAACAATATTATTTATATAATCTAAGGGGTGTCCAAAAAATCTAATATTCAATTATTTTATTTTATTCAGAGATTGTCTAGAAATATTAGTCTAAAAATTATGATATATTTTTTTAAATTAATATAATGAAATAAATTATAATATAAACTTTATTAAATTGTCATCCAATCCATTTCGTAAAATAAATTTGCTGGTTTGTTCTTGTATAATAAAATAAACTCGGACATATTATTAAATGAATTTATTTCAAATATATTTATTTTTAATATAAAAATAAGTAAAATAAAATTATCGAGATGCATCTAAAATATATCTAAAATCGATATAGATACCTCTAAAATAGTATCTAGTCTAGATACAGACTGATATGCTTTGATAAAAGTGTGATACACACCATATTTTTCATATAGATACTCTAACAACTCTTATATATTCAAATATTTATAAGCATATTTACAAAAATGTACAGGTTTATAATTTTAATTTGACTTGATTTTATGAAAATTATAGCTATTTAATCATTTAAATCAGAAAGTTAATTTTATTTTAGCTGCGATTTCAAAAGTTTCAATTTTTTTTGTCATTATTAGAAATAGAATAATAAAAAATTGTTAATTAAAGACACAGATATGTTAACTTTATAACTTCAGGGCGGCGTGGTCTTATTTTAAATAAAACGGCACTTTAAAAAAATATATTGTCATTGTTACAAGGTTGCTAAAAAAGCCCAATGATTTATATTTGCCATATCTCGACTCGAGGCTTACATAATTTTATTTTAGCTAAAATCTTAATTTGGTCTTTTTAAAAATCCTAATTGTCAGATGATTAAATCGCATTAGTAATACCCACTCCCTGTTACTGTTGTACAATATATTATCAGCCAAATAATGCGGTTAGAAATCTCTAGAAGAGATATAATGGTAAAGGAAAGATAGTTACCCGAAAAAAAAAATCTCAATTTTTATTTTTCTAAGGTAAGGGAAGGTAATTTTTTTTAAAAAAAATTTAAAAAATTATTAGGGTTAATATACTAAATTTTTTAAATTTACAAATATTAAAAAATTTTTAAAAATGTAAGATTTTATTCTTTTATTTTACTCCACAACTTATATAATACTATATTTAATAACAGTAGTTATTAATAATATATACTAAATTTTTTAAATTTACAAATATTAAATTTTTTTTAAAAATGTAAGATTTTATCCTTTTAAAGTAATTTTGATAATTAAAACATGTATAAGTTTAAGGTGCAATCAATGCCATGTTCTTCTTTTTTTTAATCATTTTTTAAAATTGCTATACTTCCTGATATGGCTAGGCAAGGTTGAATCAATATAATACCGATTAGTTTTTAAGATATTTTTAATAAATTTTAATTATATAATATAAATATCAGAGACTTACTACACATATATTTGGTTGAAATATACTGCCCGACCTGGCCCAGTATTTTTTTAAAAAGATTTCTAGGCCTGGCCATATTTAAAAAGATTTTAGGCCCGACCAGGGTATATTTAAAAAATTAAAATACGCAACGGTCTTAGAGTTGGATCTGCAGGTCTCTGATTTATATAAAACTTTTCACTATAAAAACAAGTAATTGGCGGTCTTTTTTTTCTGCACTCAAAGGGTTAAACAGTCAACACAAAATTTAGGAGAAGGAAATCTATTTTATGGATGATCATAGTTACAGATAATATATTCATTAAAATTTATTTTAACAAAATTAGGCTTCAGAGGGATTTTATTTCTATTCTTTAAAGCGCTGGTTATCTCTAATTTTTACACATTCCTCCACCCCAATTTTTTTGGCAAAAATTCTTCAAACGTTACATGGCCAGGCATGGTACGCCAGGCTGGGCTTTTCTCTAATTCAGATATATTATCTAAATTTTTTTTACTTTACTATAATTAATTATAAATGTAAAAGAACAGAACTTATTTTTTTACAATGTATCAGATTTAATTTAAAATAAATTATTTGTATTATAAATTTTATCTCGAATGGTATTTTTTAACAAATTATAAAAACAGATTAAATACAAGAAAAATCATTCATCAAACCAACAAATCCATGTTGATTAATTGTTGTTTATTTTGTTAAAAGAATAAAGCAAAAAAAATTATATCTCCATTTCATTGGATAAAAAAGAAAATTTAAAAATAACACCAAACCAAACATCTGTGATCAAGAAATGCATCTGCATATTTTGTGATTTATAATGTTCATACCATCATACCTATCATTTTTTTCAAACGTTTTTTTAAAAACTATGATGTCAAATCGATAATATAAAAAATATCCCAACCCAATATTTTTGTCAATTTTATATTGCTAATTACCAATATAATTTTATATGGAAAATTTATAAATGATATATTTTTCGGCATGAATCATGCTTAAACTAATATTATTATTCATCAACATACTTTTATTTCTAAATGCCCCCAGTCATGGTCAACATTCTTATGCCGGATGGGGCAAAAAGGTAAGCAACCATTATCATTTTCATAACGAAATCACTTTTTTCAATTATATTTATAATATGGGGGGGGGGGGGGAGGCTTGTGATGCTGCGGTCTTGTAGGCAAATTTTTAGAGCGACCTCATCTTAATGGAAGGCTTCTATCCCATGCTCTTTATTTTGCTGGCTTTAGGTCCTCGTTTACCCGGTCATTTTTTATAAGACAAAAAACATATCTAAAATGATGGGTTAAAAACGGGCATGACTAAAATACACGCCCTCAGAAAGTACACGCTCTATATCAAAAAAACTTTATTTAAATAATATTAATATTGAATCGTGTTTAGCTTTATAAGATGATTTAGAAAATGTTTTTTTTTAATTTCAAATAAAATGTTAAGTAACATAATAAAATTTTAAAAAAATAATTTTTTTACATGACTAAAATACGCGCACTCAATAAATATGTACTATTTTATAAAAAAAATGAACGCTCATAAAATCTTAATATTAAATTTTAAAGTTTTTATAACTTGGTAGGCTCTTGAAAAAACATATATGATTTTTTGAATAAACTAAGCGTTACTCTTTTTTTTTAAATGAACGCAGGAGGCAGGATCATATTTAGTTCATTAAATGGATTTAGAAAATGTTAATATTAAAATTTATAAATTTTTTATAACTTAGTGGGCTTTTGATAAAACACTTTCTTTTTTTTATGACTAAAACTCGCTCCTACCCCGCTCTCGGTAAATATACAGTATTTTTTAAAAATAAAAGAAGCATCATGTTTAGCTCAAGGAGATTCAGAAAATATAGTATTCATTTTTTTAAAAAAAAAATTTAATTATAAAAAAAATTGCTCTCGGTAAATATACCCGCAAAATCATGTTTAGCTTTTCATGGAGATTCTGAAAATGGTAGTATTCATTTTTAAAAAAAAATTATAATTATCGAAAAAAAAATTTTTTGATTAAAATACGCGCTCCCAGTTAATGTACGCTATTTTAAAAAATGAATGCAGAATCATGTTTAACTATTCGAGGAGATTCAGAAAATGGTTATATTCATTACTTTTAAAAAAAATTTAATTATCGAAATTTTTTATTATTTTTGACTAAAATACGCGTTCTCAGTAAATATACTCTATTTATTCAGGATCTTAGCTTATCAATGGGATCTATTCATTATAATTTATTTTTTCCAATCATGCTATAAATCCATACAAGCTCTCATTATAATATGTACTAAGTTTTTAAAAAAGGGAATCCCCAACTTAATTGAGAAAATTTTGAGGATATAATATTTTTTGTTAAATCTTAATAATTGTTATCTCAATTTTCTCAAAGACGTTAGAAAATTTTCAGAATATTAAAATTAATAAACCCCCTTAATTAATAACTTAAAAGATTAATGTTTTAGCCGTTTTTAAATCTCTCAAACGAGGCGTTTAACAAAACTACTAAAAATAGTAAAATATATCATTAATAAGCATATAAATTTATAATGTAAAATTTTATATTATTGGGATTTAACTAATTTTCCAATGATTTCATCAGTATGTATATTAAGAAGAGCTAACATCTATCCTCAAAGGTAATACTTCTTAGTAATGGTTTAAACGGCTCAGTTTTAGCCGATTGGTTTTATTAGTACATGAATATAAAATATTTTAACGATTTAGTATGAAAATGTTTTTAAGGCATTTAATAACACATATCATGAATCAAAATTAATTTTTTATTAGTTTTACACTGATCTTGCATTGACAATAATACTGCACTATAGTGATAAGTGATAACATTTTTCTCATATATTTTATAATTGAATTCCTACAAAATATTATACATGCTCAATTAAACTATATCAAGTAATCTAAACCGGGCCTAATTTTTAAAACCCGGACCTGCTCCAATATTTTACAATTTGTCCTGCCCGGCTCGGCCTGAATTTATTTAATTATAGAAAATTATAATATTTTTTTGATTGTAAAAAATATATTCTACAAAATATTGGCGCCTTATTTTTTGCAAATTCTATATATATATATATCAATAAATATTGCTTAAGCCTTGAGAATTCGCTAATAGATGTCTCCAAACCTTTGCGACATCTATGTGCAAAATCTTCAGGCACGCATTAAATTTTTTGGATAAAATATTGAGTTAGCCTTTTTTAAAAATCGGCTCAAATCGAAACGTTCAACAACACTAGTCACTAGACTTAATAAAGTTTATAAATGATTCCTAATTTTATAAAAAAAATTAATCCCCCCCCCCCCTTTACAGCTGTATCTTTAAATTAACACATTTTAGAAAGTTAAAAAATTTATGATAGATGTTATTTTGTGAAAATTTTTTAGTTATATTTACTAATCATCTCTGATTTGTCTTTTTTAAAACTATAAAGAAAATTATTTATAAATAAAGATTGGGGTTAATATTAAAACAGTTGCATAAATTTAAGTTGGATTGTTTATTTATATATTTTAATTTATCGTAAAATCACTTTTCCAAAAATATATTTTTTTCCCAGTAATAATGCTTGATTAGAAGGTGTTAGCACTTTGCTAAAACCGAAAATAAAAAATATCATGTTCTGAAACTCTATAATTATTTAAAATTTAATTTGTGCTTTAATGTTCTACAAAACCATCCGTATCACTGACCGTAACCGAGTTATATCCATTTTAAAAATATCGGCACACAAAACAAAAAGTAGTGCAGCCACAAATCCTATTTTTGCCATTATTTAGCGATTAATTATTTATTTTAAATTATGTAAATGACTTGGTTAACTGCCTTATAAAAAATTTTTTATAAGCTATATAAATGTTAGGTCAAATTTTTACCTGAGATATTATGGAAGCATTAATGAAACTTATCATTTTTTAGCTATCCGTCAGTAGAAGTAAGTGCTTTAATCAGTTTAGTAGCCGATATTAAAATAAAAAAGTTATTAACGAAATAAACAAAAAAATGGCGGCACTCAGACAAAAACCAGAGCAGGAACAAATATCCTATTTTGCCATTATAGCGATTAATTAGTTAATTTAAGTTACTGTATCATAAATGAAGTATGATAATTATCGTTTGACGAAGTAATATTTATATTTGTCACCATCGGATATTTATTCATATCCATAAGAATTAGTGCTGTAAACGTTCAAAAACAGAAACATGTCACTCGTTATGTCTGAAAAAGAAACGCGTTGCCGTTGCTCGTTACCTTGTGGAGGAAAATAAAATATTATATTAAGATATCTTATTATAATGATTTTTTTATATATAATTTATAAATAAGATAATATATTTTTGTAATAATTTTTATTTATTTTTAAAATTTTGATCAGATAAAAAAGAGTGATTAGGGTTCAACTTTGTGATAAACACAAGTTCAACTGGCCCAGAGGATAAAGGGATTGTATTATATTGAATAAATAAAAATTTTAATTGGGGGAATTTATTAAAAATTAAAGGATAATCTTTATTTTTAAAAAAGCCAAGTACAGATTATTTTCTAATAAAGCCTTAAATATTATATGTTTAAATTATTTTGTGGAGACACGATATACATCACTTTCTGACTTCAGTTCACATCAGTAGTCTAATGGGCAAGTCGAAAGGATGGTCAGAACTTTCAAATCGCACATGAAAAGGTGCATAGAACTCTTGAATTTTTTTTTATGCAATTACAGAAATACACCTAACAACACGACAGGTATTCCTCCAAGGAAAGGTTTAATCACGACATGATAACTAAACGGGATTTATTTATAAAAAAGACAACGATAATATTTTGCTCACGACTTTATCGAAAAACAAAACTATGGATGTCGGAGACAAAATTTGGAAAAAAATATTTGGAACAAATAGGACGAAGTCATTATCATAAACAAGGAAAATAAAATAAACACAAAAAATGGGATATTAAGGGGGCATCAACTTAAAAAAAAAAGATTTACTACCGATAATAATATCACGTATGAACAGAACACTCTACCTAAATTATTTTACAAGAGGGGAAATGTTGGAAAAGATAAAATCAACACAGAAATTTTTTTTTGACTGACGTATCGAGACCAGTTAGAAAGAGAACAATACCCTTATACGGTATGAAGATTATATCTTAAACACAATAATTAAACATCAACACACAAAATACACACATTACATAATTAAAAATAATATGCATTAAAAAAAACTTTTTTTTGAATAAAATATGAAATAATTTATTTAGCAGAATTTTGACCGATCAAGAAATTTAACGACCACGAAAAGTAACGACATCGTAGGATATTAAGAATAATGAAGATTGCAATTTGAACAACACTATCATGAAAATAAAAGCTATAAATGGTTACGATAATTTTTTTGAGCGAAGAATGTTAAATAAAAAAAAATCTAAACTTAAATTCGTTTTATCAACCTTCGAGAGTATTTTTTCGTTTTTGTTATATCAATTTATTTTGTAAATAATTTTATATTTATGTTAGCGTCAATGTGTTTTTTTTTTCCGGCAATGTGTTATTTTTGAGCGCGTTTTTTATCTGATTTTATCAGAAATATATTCTATCATGTTTAAAATACCTATCTTATGAATTGTAGACAATTTTTTTTGCTGTAAACCTTTGGATTAACTTATAAAAAAAATATATGGAAAATTTAACATAATTTACTTAAGTTTATAAGTTTATGAAAAAATTGTCTGAAATTCATAGAGTAGGTATTCCGAACATGAGGGCATAAATTCCGGTAAACTCTGATTTTTAAATTTTTAAAACGCGCTTAAAATATGATTTAAAGTTGAAAAAATAACACTTTACCGGAAAAAACACATTGACTAACATATATACTTTAAAATTTGTTATATTTTTCAGTCGTAATTTTTTTAATTTTATTAAAATAAAGTTGTTACAAGTAAAGTAAGTAATAAACTTTTATATTAAGTAATAAACTTTTATATTCTAATTTTATTTTTTATATTGTTGTACGTCACTTTGTTACACTTTATAAATTATAATGTCTTGATGTAAAAAAATTTTTAATTTTAATATAAAATTCATATTTATTTTATATACACTTGTAAATATGAGCTATGCTTAGCCTGGTCCTTTGAATTATTCCGTCCAATATTCCAGCACGTGTCCTAAATTTTTTTTCATAAAGATACTTTATTATTTATTATATATGTTTTATTTGATTTAAAAATTATATCCACGTGCGAATTTTAAAATTAAAACGACAACTTTAAGATATTTTATATTTGACAACTTGCAATATCGATTAAACATAAATTTTTTGAGCATTTTATAAGCTTATATTTTGAAAATATTTTTTATATATTTAAATCTCAGTTATATAATACCAAATAAATTTATTTACATTTTAAATTGACGCCAAGTAAAAAATATTATTACGGCTCTATTTATATTATATTGTGGATAATACCACCTTCTAAATTCGTTTTTCAAAATTTTCGAGAGACAAAAACTTATTTAAATATATGTTAGCGGCAATGTATTTAGTACTGCAATGCATTATTTTTCAACTTTAAAACATTTTTGAGAGCCTTTTTTTTAAATTTAGCAATCTAATTATACCGGAAATGAATTCCACCATGTTTGGAATACCTACTTCTGATTATTTTATCGTTAACATTTGAGTCATTTAAAATTTATATGAAAAATCTATAGAATACTAATATAAATTATATTAAGTTCAAAAATTCTTCTGAAATTCATAGGGTAGGTATTCCAAACATGGTGGATTCCGGTAAAATCAGATATTTAAATTTAATTGAAAAACTAGCATATTGCCGGAAAAATAAATTGCTGCTAACATGACGGGAGTATTTCTTTTTTGCGCAAAGCCATAATAGTAATCAGTTTAAACGGGGTGGGGTTAAAGTAATTTTTAAAAGGTTTTGCAATATCTAAAATAAGCGGGGCCGTAATTATAATAAATAGTAATAGGGAGTTAATAATAATATATTAATCCGGGTTATCTGTTAAAATATTTAATAAAGTCAAAGGCCTTGATCTAGATCGGCTTAATTATTATACTTAATTGTTTTTTACTATAGGCTAAAATGTATTTGATCGAGGACATCCTAGATCAAGTTTATTTTAGTATATGGTGGCATTTTTATTTTTCGTATTTTTTTAAATTTTTTCTTTTGTTTTTTTGGTCATTTAGCCGGTACTTAAAAGAGCGCCAAATAGCCGGATATTAAGTATAAGCCGGCCTAGGACACGGGCAAAATATTTCTTTATTTTTTTAAGAGGCTATTTACAAAATTTCATTAAGAATTGCCCTGTCCTGCATATTTTATGAGTGGTTTTATTATATATGATTATCTATATATCTTAAAACTATCTTAAATTATTTTAACTGTGTTTAAATATTATATATATACTTTTTGTTTTGATATCAAGCAATCAATTTAACGGTATCTTCTTAACATTCAATAATGACATAATTTATAATATGGTACAATTATATAGTTTATCTTACAATTAAGAAAATTTTATAATAAATGGCATTTTGCCGTATATCAGAAGGAGAGATACTGTTTGATGCCCTACGACTAGGGTTACCATTTACAGCGATACATGTTGTTTTTATGCCTGCGTATACCTGTGTGTTTGAATATGCTTAAAAGTTTTGTGATATAACTTATATATTATATAGTTTTTTTATGTTATTTCACCGTTTGCAGTGTTTTTATGCCTACTACGTACAGGTTAAACGTTTTTAATAGGGGTTGAATATGCTTAAAGGTTTTGTGATATAATTATAAAGTTTATATAAATCTTATAATGCCATAATATCGTGGATAATAAAATTATGTATTAATATCCGAGACCTGCAGTGGTACCATTTTAACTCTAACCGTATTTTTAAGTACATTTAAGCCTGACCCGCGTTTTAGTTTTCGTTTTATTTGTAATTTAAAGAAAAAGAGTTGGGGAAACCTGGGTATGGCGACTCGTTATCACTCGTATAATTGTAGCTATTATTATACAAGACTGGAATATAAATAATTTTAAGTTACGAAAAGTATAAAGCCCGCATATTTAAAAGTAAGGATTTAGCCCCGAGTAAAAGACACATTAGGCATTTGATTTTGTTAGGGCACTCAACTGAGTTGTTATTTTCATGTATTATTTCATTTATTTTTTATAAATAAACTTCTCGATCCTCACATCGTAGATATTTTCATTCACCTAAACTATTATTTTGTAAATATGAGCAAAATGATCATGTCGGAATTTGAAACTGGACTGGTTACATTCTCCAATTGCAAAACTTTCTACGGCCTTTTAAATAAGGAAAATAATATTTTTAAATATCTCTTTTGATTTATTAAAGTTAAACCTATTTTTAAAATGTAATTTTAAATATTATTTGGAGACATAAAAAACTTTATTATATATTTTTAATTATTCACAACGGAATTATAATTAGTAATCTGATTACCCATGGCCATGCTCGCTAGGTATAATCCACATTTGCATGAATTATTTTTATTAATTAATAAGAAAAGTTAATTTCACTTTGTAAAATTGTTGTCCCTTGTCCCTATTTTATAAAAGAACACGAAATACAACGTTATTACAAAAGGTATTTTAAAAAAAAATCAAATAAATATTATTAATTAAAATAATAATTCCTTTTATTATATATTCACATTTAATATTTTATGGCACGTTGATTTGAAATAATAAAATATAAGACAGCATTTTAGCTCATCCTATTCTGTAAATTCTGAATTTGAATATATCATTCTCTTTACAAAATAATCTATAAAATCCCTTTTAAGCTTTTTTTAAAGTGGTAATGTTATCTTAAAATATTCGTAAATGTCTCCTTGTTATTACTTAAATTTTATTTAGTCCAAAAGTCACATTCTATTCAGATATGCCGCCATTTGGAATTCTAAAACAGAAATATATGAGTTAAGATGCAGCTTGACAGTTAATAAATATATAAAAAATCCATTAACTGGGCAGGTGGTAATTAAATTAAAATTTTTAAATTTATCAGATCAAAAAAATTTGAAGCCATTCCAAAATCAGAGCACTGGGCAGAAATTTAATAAGAAATGTCAGATAATCAATTATGTAACGTGGTTTATTGTGTTTTGTTGTTTTGCTTTTATTCATATTTAAAATGTTTTAGGTTGAAAATATAGTATTATACCCGGATAAATATTCATGGTGCGAATTGAAGGAGATCAAACAAATTATTAACTATCCTGGTTGTAAATCAAAAGTATTTCATAATTTATCATAAATATAAGATATTCAAATCAATTTAACTTTTTTGAAAAGATTTTAGGTTATTCGGCTTTTCGGACATGACTAAAATATTCGCCCTTATAAACTACGCACCCCACGCTCCCCCGAAAACTACGCGCCCCCTGTCAAGGAAGCTTAATTTAAATTTTATTAATATAAAATCGTATTTAACTTCATAAGATGAGTTAGAAAATATTTTTTTTGATTTAAAAAAAAATGGTAACATAGTAAAATTTTTAAAAAAATTAAGAAGCTAAATTTATAAAAAATAAACACAGAATCTTATAAAAATTTTAATATTATATTTTAAGTTATTTTTAACTTGTAGGCTTTTAAAAAAAATACTTCTTTTTTTTGACTAAACTATGCCCCTCCGGTCAAGATACATTATTTTTTAAAAAATGAATACAGAATCTTGTTTAGCTTTTCAAGGAGATTCAGAAAATGGTTTTATTCATTTTTTTTTTAAAGATTTAATTTTCGAAAAAAAATTTTTTTTGACTAAACTACGCGCCCCCGATGAATATGCATTATCTTTAAAAAAATGAAAGCATAATCATATTAAGCTCATTAAAAGGAGTTAGGAAATGTAAATATTAAGTTTATAACTTAGTGAGATTTTAAATTTATTTTGACTAAACTACCCTCGGTAACATTGGCGTACGCAGCGGGGGGGGCAGGGGGACAAATCCCCCCCCCCCAAGCCAAAAAATGCAGATGCCGGATATATTTTTCAAAAATATTATTGTTTATATTAATTTATATTTGTTAATATTTATTCGTATCTCATATTAAATATATATTATATTACATTTATTATCACATTCATAAGTTATTTTATCAATTAATTTCGATTTCAAGTTTTCCGGCGTAATATTTACTTATTATTTTCAAATTTTTAGTGGCGTAATATTTATCTACCATTTTCAAATTTCTAGTCAAATAATAATTATTTCTGAAACTTCTGGTCCAACAGGGAAAAAGAAATTGCAACCTTGTCCAACGTGATAGAGCCTCTTCCATCAAGCACTAACAGCTATTAAGGAGTTAGAAGAGCCAATTATTTGCTATTACTGAAATATTACAATGGCCTGAAAGAAATATTTCCTCAGAAGCAAGAAAATTATTAAATTCAATGCTTATTCCAAATTTTATTTCTCATTAGAATGTATTATTTAATTATACAATTATTTTAAGTATTACTTTTCAAAAACATGACAATGATTTGATTAAGAAGATGAGAATAGCGGAGAGCATTTTATCAGAACTCAAGGAAATTAGGGCTAATGTTGATGAAGAATTTCATATTTTATATTTTATTGTTGAGTCAAAAGCAAAGCTATACGTGTTTAATATTTGTCTCCCTCGACTTGCAGCAAGGCAAGCTCATCGTTAAAATATTAATATAGGATCAGTAGAAGAGTTTATCTTAGATGCAGATACATTTATAACCCAAATAAATGAATTTTTAATATATCATGCAGCACTTACATCTGCAAATATTACTTCCACAAAAGCCTTCCCTACCTTTTTCAGATGGTGATAGAAAAAAAATATTTGTTAGATTTTTATTATGAAGATGTTAAAGAATCTTATGATGCCTTACTAGCTGAAAAACTATGTTTATAAGATTAACTATGGTTGATATAGTCCCAAAAAATGCTATGGATGTTCTGCATTATTTCAAACACATTTTAGATTAAATTCCCAATGTATTAAAAGGGTTTATAAACTCTTCCCATTAGTAAACTAATGAGAGACTCTCTTTTTTAAGAAGAATAACAGAGGCCTGCAGAAGTACCATTTGCAAGGCACGGCCCGGATTTTTAAAGATTTTTTACGCTATTTTTAAAAAAATTTTTAGGCCGCTCGGCTTTTTTTTAAAATTTACAGGCTCGGCCCGGCTATTTTTAAAATGAAATTTTCAGGCCCGGCCTGGATTTTTTAAAAATAAATTATATTTATTTTTGATTTTTATAGCTATAATAACGATTTCAAATATAGGCTGTTTTAAAAAATACAGCCCGGCTTGGGTGTTTTTTTAAAAAAAATTAGGTCCGGCCCGGGTGTTTTTTAAAAAAAATTTTGGGCCCGGCCTTGGTATAATTAAAAAAATTAAAATATTGCCCGGCCCAGGAGCCGGGCCTGCAGGTCTCTGAAAAACATACCAAGAAGTACAACATGTGAAAGTAGATTGAAAGGTTTGGATTTTTTGAATATTCATAGGCATTTGACGACAAGCAAGGATGAGATAATTGAAAAATTAGCTCAATTCCAACGAAGATTGGATTTTACATTGTAAATATATAACATACAAAATACAATTATTCCTAAGAAACTTTTTGTGTAAAGGCTCAAAAAATTCAAATTTCTATTTTGGGTCATTTAAGTGATTCTTTACATATAATTTTTTTATAATTCACATTAATTTAAAATTGTGTATTAGGAATAGTTATTAGTCCTAATAAATTTATGCTTGATATTTTTAAAAACAATAATATTTCTCAAAAAATTTATTATCCCCCACCCCCAGACCAAATTCCTGCGTATGCGCCTGCTCGGTAAATATACATTATTTTAAAAAAAGGAATATAGAATCATGTTTAGCATTTTAAGGAGATTCCGAAAATAGTTCTATTTATTTATTTTTTTAAATTAGAAATATCGAAATTTTTTGGTAAAATATACGCTGTTTATGCAGAATTTTGCTTAGCTTATCAATAGGATCTAGTCATTGAAATTGATTTTTTCCAATCATTCTATAAGGCCCGAGCTCTCGTTATTTACAGGGATCCAAACCAAAACGATTATCGATTCGGTTCAGGTTCGGATAAAAATAACGGTTCAAGGTTCAGGTTCGGTTCGTAAAAAATAAAAATTTCGGTTCGGTTCGAACCTCTAAAAACCGGTTTGAACAGTTTTATATTCAAACTTACATTCGAATTATGTATAGGAAAGAATATTTTTTTAATTTCATCATTAAAATAAAAAACACGATAAATAAAACCTTCATTTTTATTAATTGCACATTATAAAATAATATTTAATTTATAAATATAACAAATAAATATCAATGATTAATTTTATAATCAATATTAACTTTATTTCCTTAAAAATTTTTTTTATTAAGCCGCATAATTAACATTTTCAAAATTTGTCTCACTCAAATTACATCTATAAGGGGATAGTATAAATTTAATCGTTATAACTTGCTGTAAAATAGTAATATAATAAAGTTTATAAAAATTATGACTGACATTTATCAAGAATCTTTAAAACAATTCGAATATAATTTAAATTTTTGCAATTATACTAGTAATAAATTACACATTATTTTATAGGCAAAAATCATGAGGCTTGAACCGGTTCAAAGGCATTTTAGCGGTTCGGTTCAAGGTTCGGTTTAGATTCGATAAAAAATACCGGTTTTTAGCTGTTTAACGGTTCGGTTCAGGTTCGGTTTGGATCCCTGGTTATTTATATTACAAGTTTTAAAAAAAGGGGATCACCAACTTAACGGGTTTTTTTGTTAAATCTTAACAATTTTTTTTCAATTTTATCAAAGAAAACTCATTAAAAAATTATCGAATATTAAATAAACCTCCTTAGTTAATAACTTTAAACCTGGTTTATCAATCCTATAGTTTTGAGTTCGAATCTTCTTAATACAATTTTCTGGTCCCATCTATGGGGAGTGATATATGATAGCTTGATGAGAGCGCTTGATCCCAGTGATGAAATATATTTCATAAATGGAAGTAATTTAGAAAAATATATATATCTGTTTAGGAGAAAATTGCAATATTGTTAACTATTTATTCTTTATATTTTAATAAACATTATTATATAAATTATTTTAACAAAGATACACTAATAAGCAAATTTTAAAATAGATGCAATATAAAATAGGTTCCTACTTTGGCATGACTAAAATACGCGTCCCCGGTCAAACGGGTTTAATTTATATAATATTAATAAAAAATCTAATTTAGCTTTATAAGATGAGTTAAAAAATGTTTTTTATGATTTAAAAAGAAATGATAACATAGTAAAATTTTTTAAAAATTATTTTTTACATGAAAAAACTACGCGTTTCCAGTCAAGATACAATTTTTTTTTTAAATAAAAGCAGATTCATATTTAGCTCATTAAATGGATACATAAAATGTTTTTTTTTATTTAAAAAAAGTAGTAACTTAGTAAAATTATGAAAAAACATTTTTTGACTAAAATACGCGTCCCCGGTCAAGATGGATTATTTTTATAAAAATGAATATAGAATCGTGTATAGTTTTTTATGGAGATTACGAAAATGGTATTAAGAAATTTTTTTTAAAAAAAATTAATTTTCCAAAAAAATTTTTTTTGACTAAACTACGCGTCCCCAGAAGATACAATTTTTTTTAAAAATAAAAGCAGATTCATGTTTAGCTCATTAAATGGATACAGAAAATGTTTTTTTTTATTTAAAAAAGAAGTGTTAACTTAGTAAAATTTTGAAAAAACACTCATTTTTTTCATTTTTTGACTAAAATACGCGTCCCCGGTCAAGATAGATTATTTTTGAATATAGAATCGTGTATAATTACGAAAACGGTATGAAAAAAAATTATATATTAAAAAAATTTCGAAACCAGCTTCATACACATAATAATGGGGTAAAATTTTCTCAAGCCTACTAAAGACTATAAAAATTTTTGTAGTTGATTATTTTTTAAATTTATATAGGCTCTAGTGGTATCAAAATTATGATATTAATACGATAGTTAAAAAATATTGATTGAATTAAGTTATTTTTAATAAATCAAATATATATGAAGAAATATAACAAAATATAAAGTTAAAGAGGGGCTCAATGGTAAGAACCTTTGCCTTCGTATCGTTATGTCATGGGTTCGAATCCCGAAGTAGGAAAAAATATTTTAAAAAAAATTTAATATTACACTTTATAGTCTCCTTAAATTTTAAATACAT